ATATATATATATATATATATATATATATATATACAACTAAAGCGTTAAATTTTCTCACAACTTTTAGAAAATGAAACTAAAATACAAATTGAACGTGGATCTAAATGTAAATCAGTACAAATCAGTATGAAAAAACCATCAAAGCCAGAACATGTGCCGAAAAAAAATTCGCAGGATAAGTAAGAATCTTTTTCACGGTATGTTAATGTAAAAGACAATTTCGTTAAATTTAAACTGCACAAGAATCTACCATTTGCATTGTTATAGGCTTTATGTTTCAACTGCAGGAATTTCACGAGAGCACAGAGAAGCAAATTTCCCTGTATGTGTGCATTCACTCCTTATTTCTTGCTATTTGGCATTGTATTCATTTTGTAGAGAAAAATGGCGCAATGCATTTTATGCCTGCTAGGAATGTTGTATTGAATTTTTCAAGTCTTGAATTCAAATTTTATCAAATAAGTTTTCGCAGTAAAATTATGATTAATAACAAATAGTCATGCAGCTAAGCTTAACCAATGTTAAGCTTTTTAGATAAGTATTATTTTTATCTTTTCAAAATCAATGAAATCAAAGAATTACAGGGTTTTTCTTCTATGCTCACACTTGCAAAAAGTTCTGGGTAAGTTATTGCATAGAAAATCAAAGTTCTAGTCTTGATTTAATTTTGCTTAGTTTCACTGCCCATTAAGTATATCAGATCATTCTTTGCTTTGCGATCAGTTTTAGCTTCTTATTTTAAATGTCCAAAATTTTCTTCCTGTTTTAAAATTCTGCATTTGTGCAGTTTGATTTCCTCCTGATTATTGTTTTATTTTCCAGTTTTGTCAACTTTGAGGGCTTATCCTATATATACACCATGTTACAATGTTTATTTGCCAATTGGATCTTTGTCGATGACCTCTATACTTTTTGCATGGATCTGGAAGAATGTGGTTGTGCTCTGGATGAAGATTTGCCTTTAAGCTCGTTTGTTTCTTATTTTTCCCTTATTTCATTTTTTATTTATCTTATTTAAAACTTTTCAGTAATATCTCATCTGTATATACTATATCCTCCCTCATTTCTACATTGTTTTTTTCGTTTAAAATGTTTGTTGAGGAATGAAAAATGCAAAATATTTGCACAAAAAAATATTTGTGGTTTACTTCTTGGTATGCATTTATAACGTAATTGTACTTTTTCACTTATGCTATTGTTTTCATAGATAATATAGAGTATTTGTGAAAATATTTTAATTTTTTAAGCGCGATTGCTCGTCTAGGAAGTCAATATCCACCTGTGACAAGTCGCCTGAGAATGAAGCTTCTCGAAGTAGTGAAAAAAACTTTGCATGTCATTAAAAAGGGGCAATGGGTTAGCAGCATTTCGAATTGATAATTTTCATTATCTTATTGTAAATTTCATTAAAAAAATAATAACCACAGCATGTTAGAACTTGAAATTTAAAATGTAAAAATTTGAACTGTTGTTGCTTCAAAATATAATAGTTGCCAAGAAAAATTGTAGTGCTGTGACTATGTCAATTTTTAACACCGCTACAAAAATTTTTGATTCTAGAACATTTGTGAATTCTTACTTCATATTTTAACTCAAATGCAAGATGAATGCGATAGAATTTTGATTAAACATGGCCAAATGAAAACAAACAAAAAGGAACATGGCAAAAATCCAGTCAGAGCAAACTTCACTTTTATTGTAGAGTCGATTACAAAGTGTCAAAAGTTTGTTCATTTCACTGCTCTCAGATTAGTCCCTTATAGTTTCATAATTTCGTTTCTAAGATTCAAAACAGCTATGAAAGTAAAATTTTTCCAAAGCAGTTATTATAAATATAAGTAAATTTATTTAGATGTTGGTCAGTTGTAAAGAAAGTAGAAGACAATGTTTATTTACCCATATCAATACAGTTTCTCAAGCAAGCAAAGCTTCGGTACGTTAACAAGTTTCAAGCTACTATCTTAGGATACGTTGTATCTTGAAAATTTTTTCGTTCTATGTATTTAATTAATGTTTTTAATTTCTTTCATTTTCAGGTCTGCAAAATTTTCAAATCGGTTCACACTGCAGTTGTTACTGAATGAATATTTCAAAACTGCTGATATTATTAAAAAATGTAATTATTGTGGCTTTATGAGAGCACAAATAAGTCAAAGAATCATCCAGATTCCAAGGTAATTACAGTATATTTTTATTACACCTAAAAGAAATGGTATTTAAATTTGTCATTTTTGGCACTGCTTTAATTTTAGATGTCTCGTTATATTCATTAACCGTTATTTCTATGAATATGATGCAAAGAAGGCTGAAGATAAAGTTGCAATTTCTCTATATATAACACTTGGAGATGGATATGCTAAGAATTCAGATTTCTCTTGTAAATCTCCGGTTGTTAAGTGAGTAATTTGTGAAGTTTTTCATCTTTCATTTTTTGACGTGTACAGACTTGTAACAGGAAAATTAAACTTTCGACAATAAAGCGTGGCTAAATATAATTATTTAGAAATACTTAATATTTTAAAAAGAAGGAATTTCAGGAAAATTAATTTTGAATCGGTTAGACCACTTCATAGAAAAATTTTTTCTTCCTTCATGCAAAATTCTGGGAGAATATTCGATGGGGCGTCAGGAGACATTTCTATTTCAGTCTTTGAAAGTAAGTAATATCAGAAACTTTTATTTAATCATCAGATATGTTTGCATGTAATCTTTTTATTGATCTGCTTTGCTTGATGAAAAAAAGATTTAAGAATGTTGAATACGAATATAGTTTGATGGTATTAACAGCATGAATTTTGTAGTAATGTAGCTTAAAAAAATAGATCATGCCAAAAAAGTTTCACTTTTTCGACATGATCTATTTTTTTTGTCCTAATCGTTGTTCCACTACTCGTACCCAGTGCTCTTTCATTCAATTCAGATGCTTGATCAAAGCTGACGAGTTAAAATAATGTGAAAATGTATAGAATTTTTTAGAGAAATCGCAATCGTTTTCAAGTTTGGAGTATGATAAAGAAGAAAATATTTTTTCTTTGAAAAAGCTACAGAAAAATTGGGATAACGAAGATGTAGAAAACATGGATGATGTATGCTTTCACTGCATGTTTTATTGTTTATAAAGTATACGATATTTTTTCAAACGTAACATATTTATAAAGAAAAAATTTTCTTTTCTTTATATGTGTGTTTCTAATATTCGGACAATAAATATTTAACGACTGAGTTTTTAGGATGAAATTTTCAATGTATATGGTTACCAGCCTGTATCTTACAAGCCAGTAAGTCAGATGAGACGAAATGAAATTTGTACACAGATTGGTATCCAGTTTCGGCGAGATTGGATGCAAGTTACTTACTCTGATATTATTTTTATGGAAGTCTATACTTTGTGGTATGAAGCTCAAAAAGATTGTAGATGTATGTTGCAGGTCATGATCGACTATATATTTACAAAATATGGCGGGGAGGGTAATGAATATCTAGAGTGAAATATTTTAGTGCTGAAACGCTTAAAAAGAAATGGTAAATTATAGATGTATTTAGAAATGCTTTAGGAGAAAATCATCAATAAGTTCAATGAACTTGCATGATCAACCAGAGTCTGTCATTAATCTTGAAGGGAAACATAGTACTTTATTCCAAGCTTTAACTTATTATTTGTCTGGAGACGTATATGATTTTCGGAAGCTTCGACAATGCGTATGCTTTTTTTTCACTGCAGTATCTTGACACAGACATTATAGATATCAAATTGAGCGATATTGTAACGGTATAGTCAAATTTTCAAATTCTTTGTGTTTAGGTTGTTAGAGAAATTGATAGAATTTACTTTTTAGATAATCAGATCCGAGATATCAAATATTGAGGTTTTACTCAAAATGAAGAATTGGAATGATCTGGAATGGAATATCCATATGGCTGATTTAATGGAAAATAAAAACAGTGATTTTGACATAGAATTATATATCTTTGCTTCAATGTTTAATGTTGATGTGTGGCTTTATCGTAACAAACGTTGGGTTTGCTACCGCCCCAAATGGTTGATAATCGATAATAAGTGCAAAGGTTAAGTTCAATTTCTAACTATGCAGTAGTAATTTTCAGAAAATAGGTGCAGAAATAGCAAAGAGGTCGAATGATATAAAATGATCTATACTTTTTTGGTTTTGTAAATGTTTAAAGCAGTTTGTTTGATTTGAAATAAAATAAACACAGAATTTTTATATTTAGAACAAAGCATTCATGACTATAAAATCGGAGAAAATGAAGGCATATATCTGAACTATGAAAATGGAAATTTTCTTCCAGTTTATGAACCAATGGTACGATTATTTTTATGTAAATAAAATGTTTTATAAGCGCTTAGAAATGTCTAATTTTAGTACTGTGAAGAAAAGTATTATTTTTTTACATTGAAATTTGAGAGAAATAAGTTCATATGTATTTATAAAGTTAGTTGGTCTTTTTTCAAGGAATTCAGTACTGAACCATTGTATGAGCTGCTTTCATTGGTCAGTGATCATGGACAACGAATGGATAGTGGTGAATGTTGAAACCTTTCTCATTTAGAACTTTGAATTGTCATTTTAAATGATGACAATTTAGATGATATCTATCTAAATTTTAGAGCTAGTTATTTTGTTGAGACTATGAAATAACAGACATGTTATGAGCAAAAAGCATTTTTTATCAGGATACTATTTCAAGGTCCATACACAAGCTGTATGTTGGACAGAAAATTGAAAGAATGGCTACTTTGTAATGAAAAATCAGTTGAACCTGTCGACAAGGAATTTGTGCAAAATGAGAGTGCTACTGCGTACATTTATTTTTACTTCGATAGGTAACATTTTAAAAGTCTACATGATAAAATTTTTGAAAAACTTGTTATTTTAGCTTTATTTTTTAAGTTCCATCGTAATAATTTGTTTTCAGACATCTATTGAAGATGGATTGACACTGGTTTCATACATCTGCTATAAAATTGATACGAAATAAAATCTGTCTTACTATTGCTTCATTGTAAATCCTTTTATTTGCAAGTAAAGTGAAACTATTTTTGTCCTTGCTTTTGTACGTAATTTTATTCATTATTAATCCTTGCAGAATAGAATTTTATTTCAAATTGTAGACTGTATACCTAATTTTTGGCTAGACAGCAACTGTCTAGCCGAAAATCTACCATTTTATCTCTTGCATATTTTCTTACAGTGTAAATACTATGGCGTAAGGAGCAATGTTGGTAGTTTTTTTATTTTTTTTTCTAATTTTTTTATTCAATATTAATTCTTGCAGACTGGTAAGAGACATTGAAATTATCATTTTTGTCGTGTCGTGGTTCGATTGATTCAAATAGAAAATCGATTTCGCTGTGTGAAAATGTATGAAAAAAAAGGAAGGGCAAAGTTGTTTAGAGTGATTATGTGTGATTTAAGTTGGAAACTGAGAAAAAAGTAGTGAGAGGAGTGAAAAACGGTTTGAACACATAGAAGAATGCGTTAATATTTGCATGGTTGTTCGGTAAGGACTCATTGGACTATCAGATATTGAGACCGGTCGGTTGAGTTGCAATTAACTCCTTAATTGGTTGAGGTTGAATTACATTGGACATCTCGGGTTGGTATGTTTGTTGGCGGATCAGTAGTCTTAGCTTAGATATAGTATGGAAAAATTATTGTTGTTCATAGCATAAGTAGAATCTTCCTATAATTAAAACATTCATTGTGTGTAGTTATACACACAGAGTTGAGCTCGCTAGTAGGTATGAAAATGAACTGTATAATGATGCACTACCAAGTTGTAACTTGTGTTTGTTGTGATAGTTGGTAATTTTCAGGTTGATATGAATTATAAATTATTTTATGAAGTCAAACTTGGTTAAGGCAATGTTAAAAATGTTCGAGAGTATATCTAACAGCGAATTCAAGTTGAATTTCTATTCATTTGCATCTTGCGACTATGCATGTGGTAATGATATGAAAAAATGAGCTAAATGCATTTATTAGTTAGGATTTCATTTTTGCATAAAGATACAGTAAAAATGTACATATGTAAGGGAAGGTTGAAGATGTGGCTACTATGTGAAGGGGTCCAGTTGCTCTAAATTACTGTAGCTTGCAGGTGATTTGTTGGACACTGAGTGTATGTTGAAGTAGAATTGCTCAACTTTTTGGCACATTCTGATTAATATGTCGTGAAAGATTTGTTTGTTAGTACCATACCTGGTATGCAAAAATTTTCAGAAAAAGAATCATTACATGAAAATAAAATATATTAAAATCCTCTGTTACAGTATCGTATCTTCGCATTTCTCCCAAGGGCATTTCTCAAAGGGGGGTGAGAGCAACTGTTCATTGGGTGGATGTGTTGTGTGCCACACTGTTTTTCCATTACAGTCATATGTAATGATTTTTTTTCACAGCCATAATAATAGAGTTAGAAGTTTTTGACAGATTACTAATCGTAATTTGCGTAGTTTTTTAGTTTTGTATGAGGAAATTCAAAAAAAAAAGGTGGTTATAGAAATATAGTGAAGCTATTTCAATCACTTATATTTGACATTTGTTTCCAGAGTACATCTGTTGAACCTGTATTTCACTTCATGTAATAAGGAATTTGTTTAAACATGAGCAGCGAATTATAAATTTAACTATGTTTTTCTACAATGAAAGAAAGATTTTTCCAAACTTTCATTCAAATTTTCTTTACTTGGTTACTATAGTACTGTGGCACAGAATTTAAGGTTTTTATTTAGGGCGAAAAATGCCTTTTTGTGAGAGAGAGGTACCATTTTGTATTAAATAATTGAGTAGAATGCATTCACAGAGAATGAGTGATGATTAATTACTTATTTGTGGAAGTTTGCTGTTATTCATTTTAGTTTTTTTGAGAAGAAAAAGGCTAGTTGGGAATGTGATTTTGGAAAATTCAAGTAGTGCTACAATTGAAAGGCAAGTATGAACTAAAATGTTGCTAATGATGATTTACCTTCATGAAAAATGTAGTTTTCTTCAGTTAAAGGACTACAGAGAAGTATAGTTACAATACAAGTATTATAACTGTTGATTATTGGTATCTTCAATAGAAAGTAACAATTTCTATTTATGGCTTACACAGAAATGTTAGCGAATAAAAACTTCACTTAGTATTCCCAGGACCACTTTTTTGGGTTACGTGCTACACCTAATATTAACTGAAGTGTTGTAACTGTGCTTCCTTTAAAGTTTTAGGTTTTTTTTGAGTAAACATGTATTTCGATCCATTGTTTGGTGAGAGTACATGTTTTGTTGGAAAAATATTCAGATACTGTTGCTTTTTTTGATTTCAATGATCGATTATTCATGTTTTATTCAGTCTTTGAGTAGTAATTTTTCTCACAATGTGTTCATGAAGTCATATTGCCAAAATGCAAAATGCATCTATTATCTTGCAAATATTTAGAAAAATGAAGTCCCAAGTTAGTTGCGCCTATCGTATGCTTCTTTTAATTACATTTTATTGATCTATTGCTCCAACGGAAAATATATTTTTACATGAGATTACTGTTCATTTTTCAAATATTAGGAAAGTAAACTTTTCATCTTTTCATCAAAATTCATAAGATTTATAAGTTTAGTTTATTGCATTTTGCAAAATTAACTTGAAGTGATGCTTTTAGGTAAGAATTAGGTTTTGTAAAACCGTCGTATAATTAGAGTACGCTTCGGATATCGATTTTTTATGAACTTTCTCGCTTTCGTAATCAAAACTAACTCTTATCATGTGTTATTGCTTTTAAAAAAAATCAATGATATCGATTAGAAGCAAGTGTTATAAGCTTACTGACGACCTTTGTGATGATTTGAGTGTCTTCTTATTTTCTTCTGCATACGGTACTAGAAAAATTATTCTCAGAAAAGTTGTACAACTTTTTGCTTTTCAGTTCGCGTTAAATTTTTTCATGTAGTCTGAGAAGAAAATCGGAAGCAGTACGTATTATCAATTTAATGTTTTGTTTCATGTTTGATTAAATTTATTCTAAATGTAAATTCTGATTGGATTTTATACAATACAAGAAATGTTTTTTGTGTTATCTACTAAAGCAAGGTTCTATGACCTTTCTTAATAGTATTTTTATAGGTTATTTCTTTTGCTCTTACAACTTTTCTAAGAATAAAACCAAGAAAGCAGTGTAAACTCGAAATTTCAGAAGCTGGTCTAGGATCGCAGACACCAGTTTTCGATTTCGTTTTTCATCAGTAGACTTTCCGCTCTTTAGTTTAAAATAAAAATTTGAACCCTATATATGCTAATTTTAGCTATAATGGAACAGCAGTTGGCTTGTGCTTCAGGCCATAGTGCAGAAGTAAGAACCATGTTCAATCTACCTATAAGAGACCCCATGTTTCACGTTCCTGTATGTTTCAGTTTATTAATTCTAGTTTTTCGTTTCATTTATTTTCACACTGGTTCATAAGACTTTCGTAGTTCTTTTTTCTGTGTCTTTTTCCACTCACATTACCATAAATTTCAGGTAGAAACCAGTCAAGATGTAATAATTTCGAACACTAGTCAATATAATATATCTGGGTTGGTAACTAGAAAGTATTTTGTATTTACTTGCTTTTCTGTCCCTGTAAATTCTTTAAGAATGCTTAGTCATAATGTTAATTTATGTTATAGCTATGCGAACCTCGGTAATACATGTTATATGAATTCGGTACTGCAAGGACTATTCGCAAATACGTGGTTTATCAAGGATCTCACTATTTGTTGCGAACAAGTAACTAGCATCGACCAATCTCTGACGTCTCATATTCAATTGAGCTGGTTATTTACTGAATCTTTGTTTCATGAAAACAAAATTGCGGAGCGATAATGCATAGAGAAATTTTCATTTTTCAGTCACTTTTTTCATTTTTCGATATGATGTATAGAACAAAATAAATTAAAACTTTGTTTAAGAATTTTTTTATGGAACTTGGTGTAGTAAATTTCAATTTCATCTAAATATTTCATTTGATGAGCTACATATATATATAGGAAAGAGAAATTACTCGAGGCATTTTACTGTTTGAAACTTCATGGTATAACGTGCTTTATTATTGCTTTAAAACTTTCAAATTCTGAATTTCTATTTCTGAAATTATTCAGTATTATTTCTAAACTTGCCAATACTCATGACAAATCTATGGAAGAACACAGATTGGTTTTATTACAACTAATCAGAGGAATGCTTAATTTCGTGAATCACGCAGAACAGGTGGATGGTTTGACACTTTTACTTCTTTTAAATACATTTGTCTGGAACTATTCATTTTAAATTAATTTTTACAACTGCTTTTCATCTATGGTTAACTAATAACACTTCATAAGTTTATAATGTGGTGGAATATCGCAATTGACTCAATTAAGAACAATGAAATTTGACTGTTTAAGGATGAAACTATGCTTCAGTTTTCTACTCATAAATTTTGGTCAACATTATATCAGTTCATATTAAATGTTACTTTTTAATTTAAGGATGCACATGAATTTTTGATAGCGGTTTTGTGTGCAATTAAAGAAGAGTGGGACAATCTTCTAAATGTAGTAGCTGCTGAAATGAGTGACAATGAACGATTCAGTAATAATCCTATCTGCCGTAATTATGGCTTTGTAATTGAATGTACATTCAAATGCAAGCGGTTTGTTCTATGCATCATTGTTCAAATAAAATTGAAAAAAATTATTAATGCATGTGAATTTTGATAATAATTCAAAATTAATATGTTTTGTTCTTAATATTGACTGAATAAAATAATATTTTGTTGTAAAAAAACTGATCTAGAAGAAATAATTACTTCAGATGTGGTTTGACTTCAGTTTGCCGTGAAAGCAATTTTTTCATCACAACGTCATTCTCGCAAAAGTAAGTTAATTTACTAATGATAATTTTTGTTTTTATTTTGTTATTAAATTAAAGGTTTTTTAATCTATAAATTTTGATTTGGAATGACAAACGACGATAAAAGGCAATTAACGTTTGAAACATGTATTTAGTATATCAGATGAACAAGAATCTGTAACATTGCAAGAATTGTTCGATAAATACTTGTGCAGTGAATCTGTAGAAAAAAAGTGCGAAAAATGCTCACATTCATTAGCAGAAAAGCATCAGAAGTTCACGCGTATACCGAAGTAAATAAAAATTTTGATATCTTTTTGGTCTTATTGAATCAGACCAAGTGAAATTTAAATATTTTATATTTTTCATCTAATTTGTTCAATTTTCAGATGCTTTATTGTTTGTAACAAACGTTATGCCTTCAGTACAGCTGGTGCGAGGAAAGTGAAAATCGCGGTCGATGTACATAATAACTATATAAGATTAGAACAAAAATTTATCCATCCGGAGGCTTGGAGTATTTCATTGTAAGTAATAAACTGATTTATTATATTATTACCATATTTCTCAGCTCTCTTTCAGCAGGAATTTGAAAATTTCTACTGCAAGTTTTAACTGAAGAAAAATGCTCAAGATCAAATTTATTTGAAGGGAGAATGAAGAAAATATGTGGTATCAAGAAATTAGGAACAAGTTACTGCCGACTTATGAGTTTTCATCAAATTTATTAAATCAAGAAACTGAAGGTTGTGGTTTTTCAGTATTTTATTTAAAGTATTGCAATTTGATGGATTTTTTTTTTCAAACTTGAAATTTCGGAGGGCAGAATTAGGTAAGACCTGTCGTTTATCACTTTTCGAATATTAGTTTAACTGAGAAGAGTAACATTGATATAAGTGTCAAAACTGAGTTTTTGTTGGCAGTGCAAATTAAAAAGCGTTTAATTCCTGTTTTATGTTCTGGCGTAGCTTAATGTTATTTGTTTACAACTCGTTACATTATTCAAAGTTTTGTACAAAAGTTTCATCATGTGGAAACATTTCCTGGCTTTTCGTTATATTTACTTGATTTTAGAAAAGAGTCAACAACAGCATGATTCACATTTGCCGTTGGCTGTCAGCGTGTCGAGTTTCGATAACTTGGTATGATTATTTTAGTTTTTCTGTGTTAATTCTTTTCTTTGAAAATTCAGTAATTAATTGGATAGATAAAGCAGGAGCATAACTTATAACATCATCTTCGAAAGTCAAGCAGAAATATAAAGTTTCAGGGTCCTGTTCCAGCTGAGTTATTTTTAGAGGAGTCAAATGAAATATTTGTACGTCGTGCGCCAGCTATGACGTTAGTACATCAACGATAGCTTTTTTTCTATTGGATTAAAACTATATTGTAAAGCGATAAAATTGGTTTGCACGTTCAGTTCATTCAATAAATTTAGCAGTACTTCCATATATAGCTTTAAAGGATAAATTATATTCATATCAAGTAATTTTGCAGCAAAAATTTTTCTGAAGATATGTTTCAATGAAGAAACAATTTCATTGAACATATGAATTACAAATTTCAAATTCACAAGTGAAAAGAATGCGTGCTTGATTTTAAAATGCCAAAGATTTTTTAGAGATGCATTGAAATTTGAAATAGACAACAAAGTGGTGGTAGAATCTGTTAACCACAAGGATAAGTCTGGTATTATTTCTAAACTTATCTTAGAACACTTTCTTTGTTACAAATGACAACATTCAAAAGTCATAAATTAAATAAATTAAAACCGAAATTTATTATTAAAAATTGCTTTTGCTTCTACACTATCGTGTACCATGTAATGAAGAAAGTGAAATTGCGATATGTGGTCAGTCATTTAAGAACTTGTTACAGCTACTGAAATCAATCCAAATTACATATATACTCAGTTTGGAGAAATTTATGAGTCTTTCGAAGATCAATTTGCAGAACCGATAGCTATGGAATTTTCGGTAAATAAAGGTTTTTTAAAATTAACATTGAACTAACTACAAGATGGGCAAAAAGAGTAATGGTTTACTTTGACATATAAGATTCTACCATGTGTTATTTTTCTGGCATTGATTTTAGAAATTTTTCAGGACTGTGACGAAGGTCAGGAATTTCAAACTTCTCAGGGCATTGGAAATTCTGCTGCTGCAAATTGTGAAAAGTCAGAAAAGTAAAAATGCATTTTTATAATATAGAATTGGTCAGTAAATAACTGACAAAGTAAAAGTTCTTGATCTTGTTGCAATACACGTCCATTTAAAAAGTATCTATCTAGCTGACTTTTCATTTTTCATCTTGGCTTAGAAACATATAATAACTATTGTGTCTATATAATGCAACATTATCCATACAATTTTTCAATTGAAATATGATTTTAATTTTATGATGTTTTAAGCCGCTCAGATCCAGTCAATGAAATTGAGATTATAATATATGATGAGAGCTTATTTGTACCGGTTAGTTGGATTTTCAGAATTGCGTTTAATTTTCTATATGTACTTTATTACTAAGGCTATACCAGTTGAATCTGAAATAAATTTAAGGACGCATATGGAATAAATATAGAAGAATACTGCCGTTCACTTAGAGCAAATCGATCATCTGATGAAACGGTTTATTTTAATTTCATTTAATGACAGTTTTTTTTCCTTTCTAAAATTTGAAATAAATATGCTTGTTAATAGTATATTATTTAGTGTTCACTTCAAAATTAAGTTACAATTTGAATTTTAATTTGTAGAATCATAATTGATTACATTTTTGATTGAAAAAAATCCATGAATCTAGGTTAATTTAAGGGAAATAATTTAAGATCCTGTTTTATTTCCATCTTTCAGTTTTTTATTCTTCAGCAGCAAAAAAAAGTTGAAGTAAAATTTTAAAGGAGTGCTTAGTTTAAAAAAAATATAAATATTATGGCAAAAATCTGTGCACAAAGACGTATATCATATTGGCCCACAGTTTTCATCTGTAAGTGATGACAATACTACAGAGAATGTAGTTCAGACGTTAGAAGACAACTTTGTAGAAAATAACATCTCAGTAAGTCAGATCAATAAAAATTGAAAATCAAAATTAAAAAGAGGTGAGGGAAGCACAGAAAAAATTAGTTTGTTTAGTCTAATATGTTTTATTAAAATTACAAATACGTCGTTTTTCAGTAAGTTCATTATTAATAAAATTTAGTAAAGGCATAATTTTTTTTGTTTGGATTGGGGATGATTCTGCTTGCAGTTGTTTATTGCTTATCTTGATCTTTCATTTTTGTTGCTATTTTATATAAAGTATTAAAAATTTATTAGTAATCAGTGCTATCATCTTTATTTTGAGGCATATATTTGAGGGATTGAATGATTTATCGAATAGATAATTTAGCATAGATGATATGGCTGAAAAAATTTTATCGTCAATTAAATTAGTAGATTAAAAAAAAGTAATGAAGCAGACACTGGAGATAATCAAAAAAATTGCCAATACGAAATCATAGTATAGCACTGAATTTTCTCTTTCTCAGATTATAAATCATGAGAAAAGTTAAGAAATGGCATAATACACAAAAGAAAAATACAAGTGAATTTCGCTTAATTATTTTTTAGATGTATATAGAAAAATTATTTTCTATTAATTTTGTCATTAGTATTATCTATAGAAAAAAGTATCTAAAATTGTGCTCTTTTTTTACAAATTTTGGAAAATTTATCAGTTACAGAAATATTATTCTTATGTACCTATGAAAGAATGACAATTAGTATAGGATCAGACGTATATAGATAATACTAATGACAAAATTAATAGAAAATATGCTTTATTTAATAACTTTTTTTCAGGAATTCGTTTGTTATCTAAAAAATCATGAGGAAGTTCCATATAGACCATTGAGCTGTTCAGCTCGTCAATCATTCTGTATAAACGCTGGAATAAAATATGTGGAGGACTGGATGTAGGCTTATTTTCAAGAATTAATTTCTGAAGGACATATCACTCAGTTCATTGTACAGTATGATTAAAATTAGTGTGTGGTTGCATTTTTTTAAACTACAAAACATACATTCAATTTCAGGACTTCAATTAACAACAGTACATGTCGTCGTAAATCATATGATCTGATTTCATCTCATAAAGGAGGATTGTTTGCAGCATTGTCATATTATATTTCTGGCAGCTCAGATTCATCCGCAGTATTTGAAAAAGCTGTAAATATTAATTTCTTATGAGAAAAGCTTTTATTGAGGGCTTTTATTTTTCTTTTTTTAATAGCAAAAGTAATGTAATAAATGTATTTCCCAAGTTTAGGTTGAAGCTGTCAAGACTGACTTTTGTTCACAACTTGAAATGCTACCTAAAACAGATATTGAGCCTCTCCGATATTGCAAGTACTTACTGGCTGCGAAAAGAATAACAGACTTGGAGCAGTTTTTGATTGCGACAGTCTTGGAGGTCAATATCTGGATTTATTATCGTAGAAAATGGAAATGTTTTGAACCTATTACTGAATTGCAGAAATGTGGAGATAACTACTTACCAAGTGCGTTCTGTTAATTTGTAATTTTAAAATTAACCGAAATTAATCAGATAAAAAAGTGCTGAGTTATCATTTTCATTTAAAAAGATGAGCATGATCAAATCCATCAAAAAAATTTATGACACTTTTTTTAATTTTTTATTATTTGCAAAGTTTTTGAATTTATCATGATAATCAAAAATCATTTTTCATAAAAAGCTAGTCTAAAATTTTTAAAGTTTTCACCAGCATCGCTTGTATTTTTAGATATGAAAATATTTGCGCAAAAAGATGAAGCCATTTACTTAGTGCGCAGGTCATCTAGTTATGCTCCGTTCCACCCAACCGAGGTCTTATTCATTTTTATTTAAAACTCATTTTATGATAAATTAAATTTGCAAATTTCGCATATTTAGAATTCACTGATAACATATAAAGTTATTAGATAATAAATAACTGAGCATGAGAACTTTCATTCCAGAACTACATCATCTTAAAAATTCATTACTTTTTACTTGTAAAGAACTTTTTTTATTTTCATTTTTATACTAATATGATATTATTGGTTGGTTCAGGATGAAATCGTAAGTAAAGTTAGGCTGTTATATTCTGACTCTCAAACTGATGTTATTGGCGTATGCCAGAATAGTGGTAACTTAAATTCTGCGAGCAATATCTATGTTTGCGAAAATGATGGTGACTCAAAAATCGTCAGTAGTGCCAGAAGTCTGCTGCGCGAAGTGGAAGACAAAACTGCAAACCCATCTTCGCAAACAGTAAATTTTTGCTTGAATTGTTGAAAATGTGATTTAATAAACAAAAAACCATGCATGACCTGACTATTATTTTCATATACAAAACAAGGAGCGGCTGTTGTCATAATTGTAGCATATTTCATGAACTATAACGAAATTGGCATGTTTATTTCTCAAATATTTAATGGCTTTCTAAACTTTTTGCTTATATTGAAGGCTCAAAATAATTTTAGTGCAGAGCGATTTACTTGATTATTAACTCAAAAGGATTATTGTTATGAGATAATGAAGGCAAAAATAATTGGTTAATGCTGATAAAAATATTAGCAGATAAAATGCTGATAAAATAATATTTTATAAATCATTATTTTTTCAGGATACCAGTTCACCATCTTTCGTACTTATATCTTTTCTCACTCACATTGGAGATCGTACGGATGGAGGTAAGAAAATATTTTCTTTGCAGATCTCAAACATATTTTGAGAGAAAGTTTGCTTTGTTAGTCAGTAATTTAATCTTTTTTCCGGCTATAAATAAAAAAGGAGATTTTATTCTAAATGAAAGGTGCATTGCTTTTTAATTTTCAATTATGCTTGGTGAATTAATTAATTTTTTCTTTGTTACTTCAAGATTTGCATTGATTAATGATAGTTTTTTTTAAGGTCATTATGTGTGCGATGTTCGATCACAATTGAGAGAAAAGTGGTTGAAATGTAATGATAATGAGATCAGCGTCGTACATAATCAGACTAGTTTCAATGATAGGCTTGCAAATGCATACATTTATTTTTTCCTGAATGAGTAAAATTTTCAAAATTGATTGAATGCATCAAAATTTAGTTTATTAGTTTCAATGACTTAATATTTTATCATGTTCTGATTTGTAATTTTTGTTACAAAAACGGTAATTATAACTTACCCTCATTTTTTTATCACTGATCTTAAATTTCAGCCCTCAAATCTACTGCTGTAGACCTTTTTGCATTTTGATAAGTAGAATGTCTAAAATGTTTGACTTTAATTTTCTGTTAAGAAGCAGTTGCAGATTCCTTTTTTCGTAAACCTTTATTATTAATAATTAATAATATGCCTCTAATTTGAATAGCAAAAGTTTTTTAATTCATTTGACTGAAATATGAAAATTTCAGAGAGTTTTTGGATAAAAAGTGATATCGAAGTAATCGGTACTCTCAATGCTCAACTTTATGACGTTAGTTTTTTTCAAATACAAATCAATTCTCGTGTTACATATTTTGCACTAATAATATTTTGTTGAAGAAATTACTTAATCTGTTTTGTTTTTTGATCTATTTTTCTCCATAAAATTTTGCCAGAACCTTTTTTTTTATTCATTTATTTTATCAAGAATAATAAATATGCAGAAGGTAAGATAGCTTTTTATGCAAAATTTATAATCATTATAATTGCGATATTGTTGTAGAGCACTTGGGTATAGCGTTTTCTCACAAATTTCTGTAGAGCAATTTAAATTTTATACCCAGTAATATATGCTGCCAAATAAAGTATCATAATATGCAGTCAGGGACTAGTTTAAGACATTTTTACTGAAAAAAGCCTTTAATGTTGTTTCTAGTTGACGTTGACGTGATTAGCACTATTTCAAGCTAATTATCTCCAGATGTAGTCTAGCAAGTTTAAATCATGGGTATGATGACTGGCTCGCTAATGCGTTTAGTTTTATAAAAAGTACCACTGTGTGTGCCAGAAATTTGTTTCAGTTATTATGTATTATACTTACTGTTTGCTTAGGAGTATTATTGATATAATTAGGGTATTAGAGACATAACATTTGAAATGCACAGAAGTGAATATTAAATAATCATCCTTCTAGCTTAAAGTGAAAGAAAATTTGAAAAATTTTCATTTCTTATACTTCTAATTGTAGGGTTCGCAGTGTCGTATGGTTTGCAGAGTACTGTCAACACGTAAAATTATATGGATTGAGAGCATGTTTGTAGCTGTAAGAGCTTCAGTACAGTACTAGTATTTGTATTAATAATACGAATTAAAGGAGAGACTAAGCTAAGCTCAGAAAAATAAAACTTTAGTCAGACAGACTAGGGAGATAAAAATATTCGAAAATCCCTTTATATGAAGACAAAGATGCGATCAATGAAGCGCTGATATTACGAATGCTTTAAGGCCAGTTGGATATAGGAGTGAGTATGTGAAAAGCAAACCTAGCTTAATAATTGTTGATCGTTCACTCTCTTTTTGTACTTCATAATAGTGACAATAATAATGGTAATAATAATAATAATAATAATAATAATAATAATAATAATAATAATGAATAATAATAATAGCAGTAGAAATAGTAATAATAATAGCGGCTAGGATGAATGAGAAGTTTGCTGTTAAATATCATCATAATACATTACCATTACTATTGGTATTATCATCATTAGAGAGCATTAGTATGCAGTAATAACAACGAATGTTGTGAGCATACACTGAGTGAGTGGGGCAAGCAGAAAAGCTTTAGAGGAAGCAATTTCTTATCAATTCTTTACATCTATCACTGATAACAAATAGATAAGCTCTCACGCACTCCTTCTTTCCTCTTAGTACTTGATTTAGTTATTCACTCAATTAGTTTGCTAATAAATTGAATAATTAGCCACAGATTATACGAAACATACACATACTCTTGCATATCACTGCTATATTTTTACTGTATAACTTATTACATCATCTCTGATTACAGTCAACATTATCTATATTATCATCAATATTATTATTATCATTATTATTACTTTCATTGTATTACTGCTATTAGTATCACTGCTATTATTAATAATATCAAGAATGGTTGTAATAGTCAATAATTATAGTGACAATATTATTACTGATAACATTGTTTGCTCATTTCACAACTTCCGTAAGTTTACTATTAACACTATTAACATAGTTGAACTGAAAATCAAGCAGCTAATATCGCATTTTTGAGGATACTGTTGAGAAATTATTACTTTTGTCACAATCCTGAAATGAAACTGAAAATCATTATTTTACACTTAGTGAAACAATGCAAATACTTCTACCATGATCAGATCAAATAAACTTTATTTGCTTATCTAACAAAGACGCAAAAGGAACTTTTTGATAATTTAGAAATTATGGTTGATATTTTTGCTAGTGTGAATACTACCTATAAATATGTACTAAGCATTACAAGTCATTATGGTAAATTTTTGTTACTTATCTTTGAATTTTTTTTCCTCTATCTTCAAATTGTTTCCCTATTACTACAAAACAATGTTAATACTTTTTAGGTTACTTTGTTAGATGACCAAGGTTTGAATTAATCACAAAAAAATATTTGCATATTTTGACAACAAATTTTCAATTAACGTTTAATCTTCTAACACTACGCAATTCTCTCTCGCTTAATTGTTATCCTTTTTCATCTACAATCAGTACAAACTTACTGTTATGTTAAAATGGCCAAAACTTGTAAAAATGAAAAAGAAATGAAATCTCGAAATAGAAGAAAGCACAATTATTTTGGGAATATGGAAGTACTAGTTTACCTTCATCTCTTTTGATTCGCATCTAATTTTACGACGTCTTCTGCCACTTCATCGACTTCTTTCTTTAATCTAATTTTTTACAACTTTGCACTTTTTTGACAATTAAAGCTCTTTAGCAAAAATACTAAAGTTATAACTGACATCTGATGAAAATATTCGCATTGCGAGCAGTCGTCATTTGATACAAATTGCCTTGAATTGTTAAAGAGTGTAAAATCGTAAGCATAATCACTTATTATTATAACACAAGAAAGTGGCGAATTTTTAAATTTTTTTTGGATAACTAATGATTTTTAGTAACTTTTGTTAATTAGGATAGTAAAAATACATTATAAGCTTTGTTACTATGCTGATCTGTCAGTATTACAGATAGAGGATTATTTCTTACATAAAATTTTTGCCTATCAATTATCTCTTTTCCTGTTTCTTCCACTACGATCGTGAAAAAATCAGATTTTTTATTAGTTATAAGGAAAAAACAATTTTTCAAGTAGGAAAAATTTTAATATATGATAGATTAAAAAAATTAATCGTAAGATGTGAAGAATCATTGATAGGCTTCAATTTTTCAATTTGCAATTTTTCTCATATTGCGCTTCATTTGACGTCACTCAACTTCATAATTTGTTTGTCATAATTGTTTCAGTTTGAGAATAGAATAAATTGTTGTTATTCGAATTTAATTGGTAATATGTTTCCTTAGTAGAAATGAAGTTATTTCTCAAAGTTCTACTATAAAAATACTGCTTAAAAATAAAACTTATCAATATCTGATGGACGCAAAATGAATCAAAATTTGACAAATTAAGCACATATTAGCTAAAATACTGATGTGAATAATCTAAATTTGTGGATTAAACTTATTTTCAGATCAAATTACGCAAACACAGAAATTCTAAAAAGATTTTTTCCCAATGCAAAAAAGAATCTTCATGAATTTTTAAAACTGATTAAAAGATGAAAAAAGAAAGAAAATGAAAGGTGTTATGACAAAGTTTGCAAAATGAAAACGTTTTGAGTAGCTTTCACAGATTCATATCATATCAAGCAAGTATTTGATAAATAATAATCTCAAATCTGCACACATCATCTTAATCTTTTTATTCCACAGTAATAGTATCGTATTAAATTTTGATTGCGCTGCTGCATTGTCATAGCATGCTAGTGGATGTTTGAATAGCTAGTTTACAGTGTTATACGACATCTGTTTATATAATTATTAGTATCAATATTATTAATATACTTTTTATTCTTTTCTTTATTTATTTATTCATCATTATTATTGTTATTAAATTACTTCACATGCTTTTGAAATGGAAAAAAACCTGAAATCGGTATTTCAGTCATAAATACTGAGGCAACTCAGTACATGCTAGTATTCGCTACGAATGCTTCGATTTTTTTAAAATCTCGTAAATATTCTGCATATCAATAATTTTGATACTAAAAAATGAAAGTTTCCCAAGAAATATAAAAAATAATCTGATATTGTTAAAAACTTTTGTTGCAGAAATTTTAATAGGAAATGGAATACTGCCATGGAAAATAATGTAGCAATGAATTGATGAAGCCATGATGAAAACACCGGTGATGCACTATAAAGTTTATTTTATTATCATTAATTACAACTGTCAGTATCGTATATGTCATATATTGGAGAGATAATTGTAATCATGAATATGAATTGCAATTATTTGTCCATTGATGAATTATTATTTTATTTAAATCATTATGTATGCTCATTGCTATTTTACAATGACAACAGTGTTGGAAAAAACGAGTTCTTATCTGGAAATGAAATTTTTGAATTAGAAGAAGAAATGCTTTATATTCTTTGGTTTTTAAGATTTATTTTTCGTTTTAAACATGATATTTCATATTAACAAAGATTCTTGCTAAGAGTTACCAATATTTATAAATGTGATACAATTGGAGCAGATGCACTTTGTTTTCACTTTTAGTTTCTCACAAGTATTTTTGCTTATAGCTGAGGTGCTTGGATGTAAGTCTTTCAAATTCACTTTTTATATAAAAATTTCTTCGTCAAGATTTGATGAATTTAATGCCAACTTTATTGAAATCGAAAATTAGACAAATCAGTATTGATAGAAGTACTTTTTAATTGTTACTTTAATATTTGTTGTTACTTGTTGTTTGTTAGCATACTTACCTCTTACTAGTTATATTTTGTTATGACTTACCTCTTACTAGTTATATTTTGTTATTATTCATAATTTTTGTTATTTTTTCCCTAAGTAATTTTATCATAAAAAGAATATTTCATATTTTGAATTTCCCTCATACTTTGTTTATTACTTCAGTGATATTATCAATAAGGAGCATAAAAACTTTAGCCACAATATTAAGTGAAATGTCTAACTAATATGTTGGAATTTTTTATTACTCAAATGATATAAAGTTTGGGTTATTATCACTCAAGTGATATGATATAAATATTTGGTATTGAATTAAATTGTTGAAGTGCCTAACTAGTTTGTTGGTTATCAGTTGGTTTGTTGAAGTGCCTAACTAGTTTGTTGGATTCATATTCTTGAAATCAGTTCAATAAAAGTTGAAAGCATTGATTTTTTGTTTCATTTGTTGTACAATTTAGATCTTATAAATAATTTTGCATACTTTTATGTCAAATTTCACTGATTGCATCTGTTCAATGTCTAGCGATAAATTAAACATGCTTTTTACAAATTTATTCTTTGCTTATTTCATAAAAAACTAGCTTAAAAATTGCTAACAGAAAAATAAAAAGTACTGGAATTTTGATGATATCATTGTTATATTTGTTAAATTTAAATACATCACAACATTTTTAGATAAAAACTTTGCCACTTTCTACTTTGAATTTATTTTTTGCCTTATGACACTCATTTTGCATTAAAAAAAAAACAAAGAAAAAAAGAATTTGAACACTTTTAAAAAATTTAATCTCTTAAACAAGCTGAGAAAATAATTGTTATTCTATTAAAAATTAATCCCTTTCTATGAATTTAATTTCTGCAAAGTTTACTGATTCTTCATGCCTTTTTTATTCTCTACTGAGCAATTTACTTTAAATATACCCAAAATTATTCTAAACAAAGTAATTTCATACTGACTATACATAATTATATTTTCTTTTTACATGAATAAAAAATGAATTAGCACTTTTTATGATGGAAATTTTTTGTTTTGCCTCAAAATTCATATTGATCTAGGAAAGAATCCCAAATATTGACACGAACAACCTTAACTGAATAAAATTTTCTAAAAGATTTAGTTCATTGAAGATATGTAAGCGATTTACACACATTTTACAAACAAATTTCTCGGGAATGCTTTTTGACGTGCTACTTCTTGCACAGTTGCAGTACTTTATTAGTGTCATTTGCTTAAGTGCAAATGCTTTCTCCTTCTTTAGTTACTTCAATATTCCATTTTTTGACTTTTTCTTTTTAAGTTTTTTTTAGATTTTTTCTTTGTCAGATTTGAGCGAGTAAGGAAGGGTAAGAGAAAACCTGCATTTGGCAGCAGGAATTTCCGGCTTTGTTGAATTGCGTAAATGGATAAACTATTTCCATCTGGTACAAGATGTCGTGCTAGCAAAAAATTTCATATCTCTTATCCCAAACTTTCAAGATATCAGTAGTGATACAATAGTGCTCTAAGGATGAGCTTTCTCTAGTTGCCAAAAAAGCCGTGTTATTATAATGTGTTATTTACATTAAAAGCTTATGAAAATGGCAGTTATTTATATAAAATACGAGCAATCAGTTGTTAAAAATTAATTTGTTATTTAATTATTAATATTGATTATTATTAGAAGTAGTAGTATTTATTATTATTAGTGCTTCTCAAATATATCACAAAGTTTAGTAGTTTACTAATATATAAGTCTTAATTTCAAAAAGTAGCGAAAGATAGGCTAATGCAGTTATAGATGGCTTCTGTAGCAGCATGGTTACCATTTGCGCGAGCTGCCGCAATTGGTTGGGTACCAATCTCACGGCAACCAATGCCTGCTGCTCCTATTGCCATACAAGTGAAGATTTTTCTTGCATTTATATACTGTTAAAAAGTGGTACTTTAAATTTCATACAAGAATTTGAATGAATATGCTTAATTGTGCAAAATTTACAAGCAAAAAGTTTTTTAAACTTAAATTATATAGAAAAAATTAAATGCTGTTTATTGTTTCTGACAACAAATTTTGTAAGCTATTTTTTACTGTTTCTTTTCTTATTATTCTTTATTTTTTAAAGTAAACTTGAATGTTGTTAAAAATTTTTATACCTAGCAATTCATTATTGTGGTCAAGATTTGCAAAATCTAAAATATACTAATTATATATTTTTTTATTCTAGGCTAAAGATTTAGCCGTAGATCATGTTTCTGATGAAAAAATCTCAATTAATATATCGGGTCGTCGGTTTGAAACATGGAGAAATACGCTAGAAAAATTTCCAGAAACTTTACTTGGTTCAAACGAAAAAGAATTTTTCTATGATGAAGAAACATCAGAGTATTTTTTTGATCGAGATCCGGATATTTTCCGTCATATTCTCACGTTTTATCGAACGGGCAAACTGCATGTAAGTTTAGTTCTTCATTTTGTTGATTTATGTCATCTATATATTATAATGGCACAGAATTTATAAAACTTTGTGATAAACATATTGTAATTGACTTTTTTGTTATTTTTTTTTTGCTTCATCTGATTATAATCTTCATTCTTGTTAATAATGATTAATTCAAGTAAATTGAAAATATCATTATAAACTTTTCAAACTTTTAGTATCCAAAACACGAGTGCCTTGTTGCCTATGATGAAGAGCTTTCATTTTTTGGAATTATGCCTGATTTAATCAGCGATTGCTGTTATGAGGATTATAAAGATAAAAAGCGAGAATATCAGGAAAAATTATTAGAAGAACGCTTTGAAATAACTGAAAAGCATAAAGAAAAATTATCAGTGCGTGTAAGTTTTATTAAGCATTTTTCTTTTTGCTATTTACCTTAGCATATGAGTGAAATAAATAAAATCATATTACACTATTTTTCTTTTTTTTTTTATAAATATTTTTAAAGTTGACAAATTTTTATAAATTTCACAAAGTCCAAAAATGATTTTTTTTACAAGTTTTTAATTAGAATTTTGAATTTTATTGAAAAATAATAAAAGAAAAACTGATTTTAAATCTTTATTTTTGTAATTTAAGCAAAAAATGTGGGAAGCATTTGAAAGTCCTCATACATCTTCTGTGGCACTTGTTTTTTATCATGTTACCGGCTTTTTTATTGCCGTATCAGTTTTGTGCAATATTATTGAAACAGTGCCATGCAAATATATGCTTGATGATACAAGTATTTCTTGTGGAGATCTTTATGAACGGCAGGCATGCTTTTTATTATATTGCTAAAAATTACAAAATTATTTTTCTGAAACTTATTATTTTCATTCAAAATTTTAATTCTTGAATTAGATCAATAGGCATTATTTATTTATTTTTTTTTCAAAAAAAAAAACCTTATTTTAAGTTCAGGCTTATCAAGTTTTAAATAAGAATTAAAACGTAAAATTGTTTCATTCTATGCTTGTATGCTAAAGTTTTGAGATGAAATTTTTCAAAAACATGTATATTATAGAAATATAAATCTATTTACTGATTAAAAGTTTTAATATTGTCATTATTAAAGTCAGTAATACACAGATTTCTATTAATTACTTATTTTTTTAGAGTTAAAAATCAATTGATATACGTTATTTCACTTATTCTATGCTTTTCATTACTCGTTATTTAATTCTGATAAAAATTTTTTAAATATTTAAAAGTGATAATTTGAATAGAGAAAATTTGCTCAGAAGACAAAAAAATATAATTGTAGTAATATAAAGTTGATATAATGATGTGCTTTGTTCAAGTACAAGTTTTCATTTTTTGAAATAATGACTAGTATATATGTACTTGAAAAGGTTAAAAGAATCGCAGCTTACTTCCTTCCTCAATCAAACTATTTACTTCCTGCATTATTTTTGATTTATTTTAAATTTTAGCAAAATTTGATTTTCCGATTGATTTATTCAAACTTTAAATATTACGCTATTATTTTTTTTTTATCACTAAATAAAAGCAAACTTTGTTAGTATTTCGTCTTTCGTTTATTTTCAGCAGCAATTCATTTTTTATTCATTTTTATTTCTTATTTTTTGCAAAAATTAATAAACTTGAATAAAGTATTATTCAAGTTTTTCAATTTAGTCTCATAACAGAAAAAATAACTTTGTTCAGTGAAGCATAAAAAAACTAAAATTATTAGCTTTGTAATGGTCATATACTTTTTCATCAAAGGATCAATTTTGCTTTTCTTAAATTATTTCTCTTTTTATCTGTTTTAATTTTTTGCTAAATTGCATTTTATTCTTGCTTATTTCTAATAAAATATTAAAGGCAATAAAAGAAGAATGAATATTAAAACACTGATTAATTATTTTCATTGAAAGCTACATCTTTAGTAAGTTTCCGGTGACATATTGTAAAGATGTTTAAGATTTTTTTTCCTCCTTCAGCTGTTGCAATGAAAATAAACATACTCATCTAATTTTAAATAATGCAAACTTTGTTAACAAAAAAAATTATGTACAAAAAGTTGTTACAGTATGTTATTTTACCGTAAAACTCACAAATCTCTTATGCTCTATTTCTAATTTATCTAAAATTACAATAGAGATTGAATTTTCATACTTTTATATTCAAAATCGATAACATAACTACATTTGTTAGCAATAAATATTTTAAGTATCAATGCTGAAATTTTTTAAAAATGAATATTTTTGCTGTTGAAAGAGCTTAATGGTTGGTTATAAAAGATGCACATATTTGAAAAAGAAATAGAACTAACAAAACATGACCGATTATTAAAGTTTACACTTTATTTGCTTTTTTTCTCACGAAAAGCAAAAAAAGCAAGCATTGTTTATTTGAGTTCAATAATTGCAAGTATTATTTTTTGTCAGTATAAGTTTGCTAATTTTTAATGTCAGGGAGATATAGAAAAACTTCTTGACGTTAAATTTGATCATGATACCGAAACAACTAGTGTATGATTTTGTTAAAACTATAAAAAAATTAAGTAACTTTTTTAGCAAGTTTGTGCAAACTTTCTAATAAATTTCTATTTATTTCAGTTTTTTGTACTGGACACTGCATGTGTAATCATTTTCACAGTGGAATATTTATTACGATTATTTGCTGCTCCTGATAGGTGTAAATTTTTGCACTCAATAATGAGCGTTATTGACGTTATTGCTATTTTGCCATATTACGTGGGCTTGGGTTTTACGAACAAGAAGGATGTTTCAGGTGCATTCGTCACTTTACGTGTCTTTGTAAGTTTAAATTTTCGCATTTTATTTTTTATATATTATTTTATAAGCAAATAAGTTGACACATTTTTTGAAAAAAAAATTTTTTTGTTTTTTTGTTTTTGCATCCAACAAAAAATAAACATTAGTGTAAACTCTCAGCAACTATGAACTCATTTGTCAGTTAAGTTTTATTTTTTTGTAAAGTAAGTACCAAAACAAAAATTCATTTAATTTTAATAAGAAAGATTTTTTTTTTTTGATTAAAAAACATGGATTATGTTTGAAATGAAAAATATTTTGCAAGAGATTTCTAAAATAACCAACAAGAATTTGCAAAATTTTTTTGACATCTCAATTTTTGCTAATTTTTTAAAATAATTAGTGACAGCTTAACTACTTTCAATTGTTTTCATGGAAAAAAATAAACAAAAATATTTTAAAATGATGGCTAAACATTTTGAAGATATATTAACGGGTGCATGGTTTTTGATCATCGGAGAAAATTGAAATGAATGTGAAAATCAGCTATATTTCAAAAAAGTTTGTATAAAAAATTTTCCTGTCATTTTTGTAAAAGTAAACTGAAAATTTTGCATTAGTTATATACTAATATGTTCATAATCAACCAGCCAGTTTTATGATTACCTTTAAAATTTAACATAGTTTATTTCAGCGTGTATTTCGGATATTTAAATTTTCTCGTCACTCTCAGGGTTTACGCATACTTGGTTACACGTTAAAATCATGTGCTAGCGAGCTTGGCTTTTTAGTATTCTCACTTGCCATGGCAATAATTATTTTTGCAACAGTTATGTATTATGCAGAAAAAAAAGTTGTCGATACTAGATTCACATCAATACCTGCTGCATTTTGGTACACAATTGTCACTGTAAGTAAATTTTTTTCAAATAACTTTTTTTCATTTCAAAAATTTGACTTTTATTCCTTAATTTCATTAATTTTGGCATAAATATGCAATAATGAGCTAGCCTCAATGTCAGATTCATCAATGTGGTTACGATTCGGAAATATAACCCCACAGGATGAAGCACGATGCTGTTATCTTTAAGGACAGAAATATGCTTGGAGCTGCGAAAAGTATGTGCTCACATTGTAGGCAACGTGTGAAGACGGTGGACCATCTAGCAACGCAGTGCAAGAAAATGTTATATCACGATTATACTAGAAGACACAATGAAGTTCTGCGATGTATCCGTTTAGGACTGCAAAAAGTATAGTCCACGCATGTGGAGTCTTTCTGTCCAGGAGATCGTCGGTAATAAGAACGTAGAAATTAGAGTCAATACACGAATAAGAATAGAGGCGGGTCGACCGGACATGCTGGTCCACGAAAAGAAGCGCACGAAGTACTCCTGATAGAGGTTGAAATCACTGATCCTGACAAGTTGATAGCAGTCGAGACCGAGAAGAAGGGAAAGTATGATTTACTGGCTAATAAACTCGGGGCAGAGATGAATTGCTAATAAACTCGGCGCAAAGATGAAATAATTCCGTATGTGATGACTTGGGGGGATATAACGACGAACTTAGATAAGCATTAAGCAAAGGCAATCAGTGTATCTGGTCTCGTCGAAACGTACATTCAATTGGTAGTGCTTTAAAAGCAGCTCATTCGATCAGCGCCGTGGATTCGACTAGAATGAAGCAGCGGAGATCAGCACAGCAAAACTGAGTGCGGGGCGAGTGCAACGAGAATGCCAAATACCATCTAGCGCCTGAATTAATAATGAAAAAAAGAATAACCTCCGTGTGATACTGATTTGATATATAATATACATATATAAAATACACGGCTTTACCAAGTTGTCGAGCTGTTAAGCTACTAGTCAGTCGATCGCATCATGAAGCAGGAAAATAGAAAATAGAGGAGAAACGGAAGAAAGCCCAGCCTGGAATCATAAATGAAAACAAATGGAAAACAGGTAAGGTTGTTGAAGAAAGCTCCGTGAAAGTCATTGGGAAAGCACTCGATCAGTGTACTGAAACCAGCAGAACAGATTACTAGTCAATTACAGCGAGAGTGCCGGAACATGATCAAACGCGAGAATCAAAAAGACAGAAAAGGGGATTAACCTCCGACCTGCTGCTGCACATGATCTACAAATATATAAAATATCACTCACAAAAATGTACTTCATTTCTTTCTCAAAAAAAAGGATTCGACTGTGAATCTGTGAATGTCTGTCAAACAGCGTGAAAAAGATAAATGAGCTTATAGTAAACGAATAAAGTTAAAAAAGTGCTGAAAGAAATGACATTGAAAACTCATAGCTTATTGATTTCTTCATCAAAATTTTAATCAACGAACCTTCATCATGATAAACTTTTAAGATTTCAATTCATTATCGAAAAAATTGCATTCGAAATATGAATTTAAAATTCAAATCATGAATTAGCAATTGTGAGTGGTCTTATTTAAGATTTATGTTCTATTCTTTTTTTTGAGAACTTTCAAACACTGTTCAATGCTTAAATAACCAAAGATTATTTTTAAGGATACATTTATTAATTATTCATATTCTGGTTCATTTTTCTTTAAAAAAATATATAACTTGTAGAAATCTTCTGGAATTGCATACTATTGTGTTGTATCTACAATGTAAATTTCTGTCAGTAATACAAACTTTTTGATTTTCTAAAATTCATAGATGACAACACTTGGTTATGGTGATATGGTACCTGCTACAATCATGGGTAAAATTGTTGGTGGTGTTTGTTCTCTTAGTGGTGTTTTGGTAATCGCTCTTCCGGTTCCAGTAAATTTTTTATTTATTGCAATTAATCATTTTATGCATAAATTTTTCATCCCTTTCATTTGATGAAAACAGTGTCAATTTTTAAATTACAAAATTAATTACTTATTTGTAAGTATTTACAATGCATTTGGTTTTTAAATTATATTACAGGTAATTGTTAGTAATTTTTCTCGAATATATCATCAAAACCAACGTGCTGATAAAAGAAGAGCTCAAAAGGTAAGCTAATTTTATGAATAAAATGAATATAATGAAGCTGTATTTATTTTATTTTTGTTAGACAATTATTTGTTTATTGATATGTATTCGTATTATCTCATAGAATGATTGTTTTAATTTCAGAAAGCTCGATTAACTCGTATTAGAATTGTAAAAAATGCTAGCGGGCAAGCTTTGTATAGCAAGAAAAAAGCACATGAAGCAAGGATGCAAGCATTTGAACAAGGCTCACTAAGTGTTGATTCATTGAAAGATGAAGATATTTTTGAAATTCAACATCGACATTTATTACAGTGCTTGGAAAAAGCTACTGTAATTAACTTCTCTTTTTTTTCTCCTAACACATTTATTAAAAATGCAGGTAACATGAAAATGCCTGATAGTTTTATTCTACGTGAAAGATTCGTCGAAGCAAATTTTTTTCAAATGTTATAAAAATGGATATTTGGGAGATTTATTTTCAAAAATTTGTTGTAATAGTGAGCAAAGTAAGCAAAGCACATATACTCTTTGGTTAAAAGATTTGTTATGCTCGATAAAATTCAGAAAGTGCCTTCCTTCAATTGATTAAAGATTAGAGAGCGTAAGCAAAGCTTTTGCTAAACGATAAATCCATAACAATTTTAACATTTAGTAATTATAGTCTAGTTTCTAATGCTTTTTCCTCTTTCTTTTTGCTTTACAACGTTGCTAAAAAGTCACATAACAAATTAAATGCAAATTCATGCTCATTCATTGCTAAATAACAAAATAGCAGAATTTTCAGCTAAAAAAAAGAAGGAAAAAACGCTTTTTCCTTTTTATTTACTCTGATAAATTATCATTTGCCTGCTGGAACTCGGATAGAATCAGTGGTTGAGGGATTTTTAAACTGTAAACAACAAAATGATAAAACTGTAACCAAACAAACAAAATATTACAAAACTAGATGTCAGTAATACTTGAATAGTATATTCGCTTGCATATATATGTAAAATGATATTTTTATGCTGATGAAGTATTCTACAGGAAAGAGAACTGACGGAAAAAGATATCGCATCTAACAATAATCTCAAAACAATTCCTCTCAGTTTATCGACATCCCAGGATTTGCCGGAATCAAATAATATTGGATATTTGCGATGGTTTGATTGTTGCAGTACTTGCTTAAGTATGGTTTAGAACAGCAGTTAGGATTAATGTTTTTTTTAAAGCAATTCTTTCCTTGTCACTACATGGTTTGGTTAATATTTTATCAGCTTAGAGCAGATATATAAATAACGGATATTTCAGAACCAGAGATAACAGTCAGTAATTTAGAATATAAAAGGAAAATGACATGAATAATAAATTAAATGTAATTTTTTCTAGATAGATCACTTAGTAGTAGTGGTTCAGCGAGCATTATAACTAGTTCAGTTTATGGACGTAGTAGAAGTGACTGTAATTGGCAATCATCTGATGGACATTCTCGACAGCATCAAATGGATGAAAGAAAATTAGAAAATACCTCACAACCTGATCGATTTCCGGTACAGGCGTGCGAAGTAACTTTATAAACGGATGGATGGTAGCATCGCAATATCACTGATATTACCCGAGTGGAAATATCACTAATTATATTGATATTCCAACCGTATGCTCTCATGCAATTCAATGGTAACAAGACTTTTGCCGCACAGGAATGGAGAGGTATAACGCATGTTATGTATTCAATTGTGAAGTGTGAAAATCTGATGATCTGAGCAATTACAAATTCACTTGATTGTCTTTTCTGAGAAAATGATCTGTTTGCAAATAAGCAATTGTTTTTTCAATTAGCGATAATTTCAAATTAAGCATTAATGGCGCAATTGATAAAAATGTACAAAAATTCTGCAACATATATTGCTATTTGAGATAATAAAGAGAAGCAATTCACTTTCTATGAAAAACTTCTTCACAGAATATTTTTCAATTAATTTACTAAAACTACTGCACACAAATACTTGTTCGTCTAATGTATTTCATACCTAAGCTATCGACAATCGACGTACTAGCAATACATGAAAGACATAATTTAATAGATAAGAAAATGTTGTAATAACTAGCAATACATGAAAGACGTAGTTTAATAGATAAGAAAATGTCGTAATAATTATTTTGAATAATCTTAAACACAAAAACATTGAACTTTTTGAGTGATGATATATGAACATATTAATCATGGCGAAGACATAAATGAGCACAATGACTGGAAAAAACAATGAAAATACAAAAAAAAGAGAAGGACACGACTGGTACCAAAAGATAATTACACAATGGTATGAGCATATTGAAAAGTTTCAGCCAAATTATTCACGGAAAAACTGAAGAGAAAGAATAAGGTTGACAATAGTTTGGATAGTAAAAAAGGATTAGAAGACAAAATACACCATAATTACATGTTAGATACCATGCCTCATCTGCTTTTCTTAGTGATCTAAAAGAGATTAGAATAAGCACATCCTCAGATAACTTTGATTCAGCATAAATTATGATTAGATTTAGTGAGGTTTCTTTTTCTATAAATCCTATTTCAATCTTCATGCAGAAGTGAAGAAAGAGAAGATTTGTAATCATTTGAGAACCTTTCTCTAATACAGCAGTACTCATTAGACGGCAGAAAAAGCAACTTAAGCGGAAAGTAAAGAAACTTCAATACTGACAGCAGAAATATAATCTGTGAAAAATACTGAACATAATGAAAATATACACGAAGAATTGGTAGCAGAAAATAAGAATATCACAACATCAAGCGCTTTTCCTACGCAGAAAGAAACCCAGGTGTTTAGAAACCTGATGAACGAGTTAAGGTAGAGGTCTGCATGGTATTTCAAATCATAATAAACCGTACGAAAACGTGCGTAAATTAACGAAACTTCAGAGAATTTTTTCATCAAAAAATTAAGAGAGCAGACTTCCACGTTTTAGATAACAAGTATTTTTGGAACAATTTTTATTCACTTGTGAACCGATAACCTTTACGACTTAGAACACTTTTTAAATAGTCAATTTTTTTGCGTTCTTCCTCAGCAGTTTCATTTTCACCAATCTAAAACAATGCCATAACAAATGATATTTAGAAATAATCGGATTTTAGTAATTTTTTTATCTTCCTACTCCAAATGAGATATTTCTAACTAACAGAAAAACTTTACAACTGCAACAATGAATGTAAGGTTTTTTTTGCACATAAAATACAAAATAGAACACAATAAATTACATCTGAAGAAATCTTGAATTAATCCTCATATCACGAACAAAGTAAGCTGTCAAAGTACTTAAAGTAGAATTAGAAAAATTTTACCAAACTGAACACACTGTTAGCTTCTTCATCCAGCACATCTTTCGGCTCAGTGCTAACTAATTTACAGCGTATACTAGATTTTCCTAGTATCAGCGATGCAAAAAATAAATCATGGGATCGTTCATCAACCAAAAGATACTGTGCAATTCCAGCATCAAACACCTTGAAATAAAACAGTACTCGAAAAATAATTGTGCAAATGCTTTTAAACGAAAAAATAACAAGCAGATTGCTTAATTATAATATAGTATTTAAAAGTGGGAAATCCAGTTATAATAAAAATTTACAGTAATATCGCCATCATATTCCCATGCCGGATTCCAGTTTTCCACTAAGTTAAGCACTTGCTTAATTCTAATTTCAGGACACGTTGGCTTCATGAGTCTTGTAGAGACGTCTTTCTCGTAAGCACCAACTGGACGATACATCTACAATAATCAACAATAACTACTTTATATGGAGAAAAAAAATCACTCTTGAACCACTTCATCATTCGTAAAGATAGATGTTTTAGTATGATGAGTGCGGTAAATTAATATGCGATTGCGTGTTAGTTAATATTTTAAGTGATAATATGTGTTACATTTTATGTTTTATTTTCCTCAAGAAATACTTATGTGTGATTAAGGTATCATTTTTTACACAGAACTGGTGATTGCTTAGTGAATCAATGTCAAACGAATAATTAATCAATCATTTATGGTAAAGTTTTTCGGTTCTAAAATGGTACTAAAATGTAATATACAAAGTTAGCATTAAAAAATAACCAGAAATGTGATAAATCGAATGTGAAAATTTTCAACACAAAATATCAGTTAAAACGAAACAGATGTCATTCATCAATCGAAATCAAAGGTACATGATTCATTGCAATGTTATGTTTACAGTGCAACTACACTTATCAAAGTGTCGCAAAGCATATCATTGTAATGCAAAGAGAATAAATGGAAGTCTAAGTAGCAAAAAATGAATAGACGTGAAGGTGTGGATGTAAATTGCTTTTACTAATTAAATGCTAAATTTCAACAAACTATATATATATATATATATATATAAACGTTAATGCTTTTTACTGCCTTGCAAATTAAATTTTTTGCAACAAACTGATTTTTTTCATTACAAATCCCTGAAAACAAATATAAAGTCATTGCAAATGTCAGTTAATGAAAGAACTTGGTAAGAAGATGGGGTCAAGTTAGATAGTAAGTTTAGAAGATAACCATTTTTACAGATTGCTTTTCTGTGAGTAAAATATCAAATTTTCCATTTAAGCAAAAAAAAGAAATTATTTTGGATTTTTTTATTTAGCTTTTTCAAGTAATATTGAAAATAATATTGAAAATATTACTTGAAATGACCTTAAATTACATACAAAAAAGTTTAGCAAATTCAAAAATTTCTTTTACATTTCACAATTTTTAAAATGTAATGTTGTGATAAAATAAATGTTTAATTCATCACGAGCAACATTTGGGAGGGAAAAAAAGACAAGTTAGTACTTTTAATTTCAATTTTTTATCCAGAAATTATCTAAAATATGAGGTTATGCTCTGTAACGCATACATATCTTTAACGTTCTTTGCAGTGAGTACTAAAGTGAATTAATTTTGAACATTTTGATTGAGATCAGATGTTTGTTATGGCTAAACTGCTAAGATCTTTTTTAGAAAAAAGAGGAAAAACACATTGTAGAGGATGTCTTGTAAGAGAATAACTCATTGAATTTGTATATTTGGGTATTTAACAAGCATTGACCCTTGTTTATATTATGTATCACCCCGTTTAAGGTGAGTGAACTTTAAGTTTTCATTGCAAATGGCGCATGCATATTAGTGATTAATTAATTAATTGATCAATTAATTAATTAATTGATTAGGTTCAATAGTCTTTGTAAGCATGATGATTTCCGCCTCAGTTACATGAAAATAAAACCATTTTCAGTGCTAAAAAGAAGAGTCATTATTATTGGAAGTATTGGTGAGCAGGTGGTATTGATATGGTTGCTCTTTGTTGATTTCTAGCTCACAAGCTAATGGTAGTAACAAGAGTAGACTTGGCCTAACCAAGCTGTGCATGGGATTATTGCACAAAGTATCAGCAAGAAAGCCTTCTCAAATGAGCTATTCTTTAATTGCAAAGTCAATACTTAATTATTATGCAAATGAAGCTGTTGTTTTCTACAACCATTTCACCGCTCTGCTACTTCACTAATAGAAACACTTCGCGGTTTCTTTTCTTGTATTTAAAAATAGCAAATATTAAGATTTCTCCTTGAATCTTATTGTTGTTAATTACAATAATTCGAACTGCAAGTGTAAAAGTACAGTGATAACACGCTTTAAATTTGCATATTTTGTGATTATCAACGATACTTTTGCTATGGTTGTTTTCTTTTTTGTTAAAATTTGCATATAATTAAATTTTTGTTAGTCTTACTTATTGTTTAGAAATTAAGCAATTTGCATATATCTTCATTGTTTGCATGCATTGTTGAAATTTTTGCTTTACTTTATAAAACAAAGTATATGGAACATTAGGTATGGATTTGAATGTCGATATTTGATAAACTAAAATAAACGCTTGACAACACTTATAACAAATCAGAACAAACAGCATTTAAGATTTTTGATAGTTGACATCAATTATGATTGTTTTTGCAGCTGTGTACATTCACCTGATGACTTTTAATATTATTCCTGAAGGTCAGTAATTATAAAACACACATGCTATTTTAATACTATGCAGACAGCATAGTTTAAGAGTCAAAGTTTTCAGTTTTATGTATTTTTTTCCTACATTTAAGTTAAGTAATAAATTCAATATTTTTCAATGTAAAATTAGAAGACTTTGATGAATTCTGGAAAGTAATTACTTCAAATCTGATTAATGAGGAATTTGATGTAGTCTACCAAATAAGACATTAATATTGTTAGTTGACAGATTGCTTTATTTTATATTAGATCGTTATCAACTTTTTGCCTACTTCCTACGCAATAGCAACTGAGAAGATGAGATAATCTTCTTATTTCGTGATGATAGGAAAGATGAACCCGCGGTATGACCTCCAGAAGGTGTGAAGAATTGATGGATTGATTACATTTTAGTGGAAGTAAAGTGAGGATTGCAATGTCACTACACCGCAATGTACCCGTTTTTATTGGCCATTTAAAAGTATTTATCGATGACAACGTATCTCATTTAAAGACATAAATTTTGGTGGGAGAAAGCTCGTTGAATGAATGATTAAATGAATGAATGAATGAATAAGTAAGTGATCAAGTTTGCCAAAGAAAGAAGAATGATGATGGAATTAAAAAGCACTACTTGGCATGCAATTACTATTACTGTCATCACAACTTTTCTTACCTCTGCTATTGTCAAGGTCAAATGAAGTAAGGTGTTATATTCTACTTCAATTTACCTTACTTTACTTAACATAAATTTACTTTAATTAATTTTACTTTACTCTACTTGACTTTAGTTTAACTTATATGAGTAATTTTGTAATTTTTTAGATCACAATTTATTAAAATTAAAATTTAATACAACTTTTTTCAATTATAGATAATATTTGCATTATTTACCACATATCTTCATTTAAATTTGAAATCAAATAGCAGTGTTGTACAAGATTTTTTTTTTTAAATTATCGAATTATCAGTCTAAAATAATCATATTTTAAGCTTTTAGAAAGTTTGATAATACTAAAGTTATAATTATAATTATAATTATAATTATTCCATGACATGTTTTACTCAGAATCATGTCTTAAACAATCAAAATTTTCTTTCTATTAATAATTATAATCCATAAAAATTTCATTCTTTTTTTTTTTGGATTGATGCATTTTGTGAATGCCATTTCAAAAAAATAATAATAATCCTCAAATAAAATGAAAATAAATTAGCATATTTAAATTTTTGCAAATTAAGTTAAAAAAAAGGTAAAAGAATACGAAATGAAACTAAACAAAAAGCAGAAAAAGTTTAAAGTTTATGAATTTTTATATTTATTATAAGTAATTATTGTATGTCATTTTCAGTTTTCTGATCAGTGCTAAATCTGTTGATTAAATGGTGAAGAAGGAGATAGAGAAGTAAAAAAGTAATAATATATTCATTTCATGTGGACAGCACGAAATGCTGGTTATGACAAGTTAATAATATTTTAAGACACAAAGAAATAAGGCACATATGGTGAACTGATCCGTTGCTGGATTGTTCGTCCTTGAATTACACTGCTAACTGATTAAACCGTTGTATGAAGATGATGAGGAATGAATTAGTTGCTTTTTCATGCATTCATACGCACACACACATACACACGTATGTACATGATAAATACATCCATGCATATGTATAAAGTCTTTAATTAAAAGCTTTTCTTTCTTTTTAACTTTGCA